CATCAGGGAAGTTCTCCTCCAACAAATTGTGGACAATTTTCTCTGTGGTTTTATTTTTCTCTTCCTGTTCTGGAATTCCAGTGACACATAAGTTATTCCTTTTGATGGTATCCCACATGAACCTTAGGCTTTCTTCATTTTGTTTTGATTTTTTTTCTAATTGATCCCTTTCCAAATAAGTATTCAGGTATTTGTCTTCAATCTCATTAAGTCCGTCTTCCATTGCATTAATTCTACTCCTTTGCCCTTCCAACGTGTTAACTATTTCTGACAATTTAGTATTAATCTTCTGGATTTCTATCTGTAGATTTAGAATCATTTCTAATTTTCATTTGTCATTTTGTTCTTGTATTTTCTTCCAAATTCTTCTAGGATTTTTTCTGTGTTTTCCTTGGTCTGTCTCTCAATCCTTTGAAGGTAGCTAAATGTAATTCTTTTGAATTCCTTATCAAAGAGTTCCAATGCTGCTGCTTCCTCAAGGATGTGTTCTGGGTCTGTATTCTCTGTTGTTTCTACCACTTTATCCTACTTCTTTGTGTGGATGGTGATGGTCTGTTGTCTCCCAGACATCATGGCATTGTTGTATTTAGATCTCTGTTAACTATTTGTGAAGAGCAGCCAAGGGTGATTCAGGCTTTTCTTGGTGTTTTTCTTCGTTGGCCCATTGGTGGAGAAAGAGGTGGTAGCTCTCTTTGAGTAAGTGAAGTTTCAGGAGGAGTTTTCAGACAAAAATTACAATTGAATAATCATCAAAAAAATAAAAGCACATGGCCAATGTATACAGTATTAATCACACATGTACAGTAACCAAAGAAAGAAAAAAGGGAAAAAAGAAAAAAAACAAGAAAACCTACAGTATCTAGGGATAGGGCACTATGAGGAAAAAGGTAGAGAAGGAGAATAATGAAGAAAAAGAAATGGGAAGAATGCAAAGAGATAGACAGGGAACAGGGTTAAGCACAAGAAAAAAAGGGAAAAAAAAATTGCAACTAGGAACAGAGAAAAGGAAAAAAGCTGAAACCTAGGACCTGGGATGAGAATAATAAAGAATAATAGTAAAAATGACAAAATGAATAACAATAATAGTAATTTTAAAACAGACAAAAACAAGGAAACTAAAAAACAGAAAAAAGAAAGAAAAAAAAATAATCGAGGGTGGGCAGGCACCCAGGTTCCACCTGAGCACACAGACTACGATGCAGTTCCTGTGGCCCAGAAGGTGGGTGGGAGTCGGGGATGGCTGTACCTCCATTCACCAAGTGGGTGTGGGATATAAGATTAACAAGGGGAATGTCGCACCTTTCCAGCTGTCCAGGTCCTTGGGGGTTACTGGCAAGTGGAACCCTTTCTTAAGCCCTTGGAATCTAGGAGAATGCTGTCACTTTAAATATCCAAATAGGTGAAGCTGCTTGTAAATATTCAAAATGCCTGCACCCTACAGACAGGCAAAAGTCCCCAGCTCAGCCTGCCTTCCTCTTTGCTGCTGCTTCGTCTTTTATTCCCCAGCCACCAGAGCAGTCCTCCATGCAGTTCTTGACTAGCAGGGCTGATTTCTAGGTTAATTCTTAGGTCCTACTACCACTCGGCAATCCCTAAGTTGTCTGTGCCATCAGGATTGCTGCCAGACTGCAGCTCTGTAGGTCTCCTTTTTTGGTATTTTCATGCAAATTCTGCTAGTTGGCGTTTAGTCCACTTCTGAATCCTTCCCTTCAAGGCATAGGGGTCCAGGATTATCTTCTGTGTTAATTGGTTCCCCTTTTCTTTGTTGAAGAGAGTCTGTGCAGTCTTTCTGCCTATTCCGCCATCTTACCTGGAAGTTTGAGATCTTCTCCATTTGATTTCTTGACGTCTGCTTCCATGGTGTTGATTGTGGATCCAAGTGAAATGAAATCTCTGACAACTTCAGTCTTTTCTCCATTTGCCATGATGTTGCTTAAATTGGTCCAGTTGCAAGAACTTTTATGTTGAGGTGTAATCCATATTGAAGACTGACTGTAGTGTCTGATCTTCATCAGTAAGCACTTCAAGTCATCTTCACTTTAAGCAAGCAAGGTCATGTCTGTAGGCTAGAAGTCCAAATTCAGGGTGCCAGCAGAGCCATGCTCCCTCCACAGTGCCTGCAGGTGGACCCTTCCTTGTCTGTTCCAGCTTCAGGCAGCTCCAGGTGTTCTTTGGTTTGCCAGTGTGTGTTCAGGTGCCATTCTTCCTGTGCTGCTCTCCATCTCTCAGTGTGTCTTCTCTCTTATAAGGACACCATTCAGATTGGATTAGGACCCACCTCCTGTGAGCATAGCTAATTACATCTGCAAAGACACTATGTCCAAACAAGGTCATGTTCACATGTACCAGTCGTTAGGACTCAAGCATATCTTTCTGGGGGACACAATTCAGTCTCCAAGAGGGAGTATATAACTCTAATGGGGAAAAGAGAAAGAAACCAAGTACACAAACCCAATGTAAAACATGCTGTGTTATAAGTGTAGGGAAGGAAACATCCAGAATGCTAACTAAAACAGAAGGGAGTGGAACTGAGTAGGACAAAGAGGATATACAAAAGCTCTGGGGTTGGGCATGTGGTATATTTTGAGAAACTAACTTTTTGGTGCTGGGAGGCTGGGAGCCCAGTAGTACAGGGCTACTGTGCGTCAAGAGTAGCTGCAGGAAGGAACACCAGGGAGGTGAATGGAGTCACCAGTTAAGAGATGACCTAGACTTAGACCAAGGTAGGGGTGACATGGTAACGACAAGTAGATGGATTCAAGGTAGATTTTGAAATTGATATTGATGAGACTTTCTGATGGGTCAGATGGTGGGGAGGAAGAGGAAGGAGTCAAGGGCATCTCAATTTTCTGACTTAAGCCCATATGTGAGGAACACATCAGGGTGGAGGCTCCCAAGGCACAGCTGACAACACACAGGTGGCAAGTCACTGATATGTAATGCCATGGTGCTTTGTGAGCCCAGCTGGGGGAAAGTGGACAGAGAAGAGGGCTTGGGTCCAAGCACCAGAACAGGGCACAAGAGGAGGATGAAAATCAGACATGTCTGATGAACCCTACTGACTCTTTCTCTTCTGCCCTGGTGGCACAGAGCTTGGCTACATTACCTTAAATGTCAGCTGTTCAAACCCACTGGGTGCTCCATGGAGGAAAATGGTGGCTGTTTGCTTCCATAAAGATTTACAGCCTTGGAAACCCTATGAATCAATTCTATTCTCCTACAGGGCCACTATGAGTTGAAATAGACTCTACAGCATTAGTTTGGTATGAGAAAGAGAGATTGGCTTTAAAGAGTTGCCTCATGTGATAGTGAGGGGCTGGTAAACATGAAATGAGTAGGTCAGGCAACAGGCTGGAGCCCCCAACAGCTTGTGTCCCAGAATCTGTAGATTAGGTGGCACGAAGAGTAGAGAGAGATCAAGTTCTGCCAAAATATCTATTTCTAGTCTGGAGAGAGACCATACCTTCAGGCATTTCTCTTTCAGCTGACTGATTATATTGCATTACATTATCAATCAGCAACTAGACTAGGGTCGTGTTTGGTCAACACAGGAACCACACTGACACAAAATTTACCTTCGTATTTGTCCTCAGGAGATGGCGCCACTGCCCATCTAGAAACAGGTGGATTCATCCGGAGTCAGCCTGGGGTCCCCCACCCAGACATTCAGTTCCATTTCCTCCCATCCCAAGTGATTGACCATGGGCGGGCCCCCACCCAGCAGGAGGCTTATCAGGTGAGCAGACATCTCAACAATGGGACCCTTCTTTCCCACTGTTCAATAAAGGAAAATGTTCTCATCCTCTTCACAAGAAGCATTCTTCCACTGCACAGAACCCTCAGGGTGGTGGGCACCACAGCCTGTTCTCTAGCTGCTCAGTGTGTGTGTATGTGTTGGGGGGCGGGGGGAGAAGGGTGAAGTGGGTGGCAGACTCTCCCCTTAGGTTGTGCTGGGAGAGGAGTACATGACACTGCATGGCACTTGGGTAGGTAAGACCCTGGCCTGACCCAGGTAAGATGTTCTAGGTCCTGAGCATCAGAAATGGACAGATTGCCCACCCCTGTAAGTATTAGATAATAAGGTATAAAGCCAGAAAGACTGAATAACTTCCTCTTTCAAGGCTGTCATGGAGGTGGCTCTTAGAAGGGCAGATGCTAGATGCTAAAATGTTATCTGCTCCTAACTGACTTTGACTGTACAGAGTCCCACCACCCTGTAGGAACCCAGGCCTCTCTAAATTGCTCAGGTGATGGGGCCACTGTGGATGTTCCTCTGGTTCCTCCAGGTGCATGTGGGGACCATGCGGGGCACAAGTGTGGGCTGGCTGAAACTGAGAAGCACCAACCCCCGGGACCACCCTATAATCCAACCCAACTACTTGTCTACAGGTAATTCACTAGTGTCCTTCATCTCCCCTGGACTTGGTGAGCTAGTCACTGAGTTAATGAATGCCTCTATGCAGTACATATTTGTCCCGGAGTCATATTGGACCATGTTTTTTCAGGAACAGATCATCTTTCATCTTCCTAGGCTGTAAGCTTGCATATACTGCTGCGTACTGTCCTTCTCACTTGAGGTTACCCCAGGGCATCACTTGACACAGTAGGAGAGAGTTGAGGCTTTCAGAACAATCTGTAGAAAGCAAAGGAAGGCTCAGCTGTGCACACCAGCTCTGTGCATGTAGCTCACATTGCATTTTTCCTACTGTTGCTCTGAGCATCCTTTAAGAGGGAATCACATTCCAGGCTTGCCTCTTTGCATGCAGCAAGAACTACAGCTCTGGATTGGGCAGGTGTGGCAGTTAGCTCAGCACCTGCAGGCTCAGTGTAACTAACTCCCAGGCACTCAGAGCCACACTGTGTTGGACAGGGCAAGTACTCTGTTTTAGATGAGGAAAGTCAGTCCATCGTTTAAACCTGGGGCCTCTGTGGCAGGCTTGTGTCTGTCTAGCATGCTGCCTGAGTGTCATGGGACTCTGCTTAGTAGCAGTGTAACCACTTATGGGTAGGTAACCATAACCCTGGTCCTCTTTGTCCCTTACCTGTGACCCTTCAGGCAGCTTACTGAGCCTCCCATGCTGGGAGTCTTCCAGGGAACCAGCCTGGTGAACGAGAGAGTCTTACTTGTGTCTTGTCCTTGACAGAAACTGACATTAAGGACTTCCGTCTGTGTGTGAAGCTATCCAGAGAAATTTTTGCACAGAAAGCCCTGGATCCATTCCGAGGCAAAGAGCTCCAGCCAGGAAGCCACATACAGTCAGATAAAGAGATAGATGCCTTTGTGCGGGCAAAGACAGACAGTGCTTACCATCCCTCATGCACCTGTAAGATGGGCCAGCCCTCCGATCCCACGGCTGTAGTGGATCCACAGACCAGAGTGCTTGGGGTGGAAAACCTGAGAGTCGTCGATGCGTCCATCATGCCCAGCGTGGTCAGTGGCAACCTGAACGCTCCTACAGTCATGATAGCAGAGAAAGCAGCTGACATTATTAAGGGGCAGCCTGCACTCTGGGACAAGGATGTCCCCATCTATAAGCCTAAGACCCTTGCCACCCAGCGTTAAGACTGACACTGCCCAGGGGACAACCACAGGAGCCTCCTTCCAGGCACAAGCCAAAAAGGCAGTGCAGGTCTTCCCTGAAATGCTATTTCTTGGAACCACGTCAGACATTAGTATCCCGATAGTTCCCCCACTCAAGGACTGAGGACTGGATAATTTCTTAGGAAATGAAACCATCACTGGTTAGTGAATAAACTTCTCCTGTACTTCCCCATGGACCCTTTGGGGTAGGCCACATTCAGGCTGGACCCCCTCTCTGCCTCCAGGAGGGACATCTGAGATGAGGGGAGGGTAATCTAGGATGACCCTTAGCTTTTGCGACGACCTCCTTGTCTCATGTTCACATGGTGTTTGCTAACTCAGAGTCAGGGTGCCTGCTGACTCCCTCTTAGGTGAGCCCCTAAAAGAGCAGGGTGCTATGCACAGCCTGCTAAACATGTGCTGGGTGCTCCCAAGGAGGGGTGTGTCCTTAACCTGCAAGCTTGTCATCTTACAGAGGGAAGCTGAGGCCAAGAGTCATATAGTTGTAGACTGGGTTTGCACATATGTCCCTCAGGTCCCTAATCATCAGAGGGGAAACTTGTCTGCTGAGGGAAAGAAAAAAGGGGGGGTTTCCTTTCCACTTCCTGGCTTTATTCTCCCAGTGAGGCGGGAACTGATGCTCTTTCAGATAATGATGCTCTTTACCTGATGTTCTTTACTTGGGTTTGTGGCCTGGCTGTCAGGTACTCTAGTTTTCAGTTTAACACGAACAGCCCAATGCGATGATTTCTGGACCTGGTTCAAGGAGAGAAGAGCTTGGAGGGAATGCCATGCTGAATTCATGACCCTAAATTTCATGGTTTTAAAGATCTTCCTGTTACTAGGAAACATAGAAACCCAGAAGTGACCGTACACCTCCATACCAAAGCAGCTGCCCACACCCTTGAGCCTGAGAGAGGCCTCTCATCTTCCAGCCTTGGGAGATGATATAGCAGTAGGAACGTCATGCCAGTAGCAGAGCTGGGCCATTTTTATTTTCTGGACATCCATGGGAACAGACCATGTCGCTAAGGTGTAAAAAGAAGTTATGTGCAACCTGCACCTGATACTGTAAAAATACAAATGAATGAAAGAAAAATAAATTGGCAGAGTTTTTGAAGTAAAAACAGATACAAGCAGCATTTAAAACATCTCTTTGATCTTTACCCTTCTTAAAATTCAATAATGTGATCCAGTTACTTTTTTTTTTTTTTTTTTAACTAAGATGCCTTATCCAGACTGTTCTTACAAGGTAATGAAACTAAATGCATTTTGGATTTATTTTTCTGAAGATACTCAAATCAACCACTATGGATGGGAAGGAAAGAACTGCCATTTGGCAGCTTATCCTCGGCTCGGAACAAGGGGAGGAAAAAATGGGGGTTCCAGGTTTCCCTGAGGTCAGAGTGGATTGAGGTGGTTTGTAAATGCCGTGGGGGAACAACAACCACAACTTAGGTTTCTGAGAAACTTCCTTCCAGGAGAGTAGAGGAAAGAAAATCATCACACATCTCCCTTTTGAAATTTTAAGCAGCTCTTTTTAAATCTTACCTGTATCTTACTTTATTTTCTGTCCCAGTGAAGGGTGAAGAAAGAAAAGTCTAAATCTGTCAAGAGATTTATTTCTTCTAGAGAGGTTCCACCTTCCCACTAGCGGCGGTCACTGCCGTCAGTCCTCTCTGGCTCAGGCTGCCTGTAGGGATGGAGGAGGAGCTGAGGTGCCCGTTCGACTGCCGAGGGCCCGGTGTGCCCCTCCTGTCAGGCAGGACCTTTTGACTGGGGTCAGAAGGGAAAAGTCTTGTGTCTGTAAAAGAGGGTGTGCCCAGGCATATGACTGTGATCACTGCCTCCCCTTTCCTGGTACACATAGGACAAGTAACACTGTAATTTAGTCTTATCATATCTGGGTTCCTGGCTGTACTCAGCCTCTGAGACAATGGCTGCTTAGGTGCAGTGGCTGTATCTTAAGATAAGCAAAATAATCTTGATGAAACAAGACTGTCCAGTGTATTATTTGCTTATCTCCAGGCCCCTCCCACACTCTCACTAACTGAGGCTCCTTTAACCTGTAATGACCTCACAATTTAGCCAAACAGGGGAATATATTTAAAAAGAAAAGACTCTGTTATATATATAGAGAGACAACAGAAATCAAAATGGATACTATGCTGTTGGGGTTCAGACAGAGTTCTGATCTGACAGAGTTCTGATCTGACACAGTTCCTCCTCACACGAGTCCCTGCAGGTTAGCGCAGCCACTCTCGTGGGATGGTGGGTCACACACAGTGTGGCTCGGCACTACACACCAGTGGTTCACGCTGTAACAGCAGAGATGCCTGAAACTGCCACTGCCATGAGGGAAGCTTCAACTTCAGAAAGAAAAGCTGTTGACTGAGGGAGCACGAGTGGGAGAGGAGTGGGAGGAGAACAACTATAGCAGGAACTACAAAGCCAGGGGCCAGTGGGGGGTATGAATCCCTGCCAGCATGCAGGCTCATGGGGCACAGGGCTGACTTCATTAGGTTAGCCACTTACAAAAAGCCCACAGTGCCTGTAAAATGGAAGAATGTGCTTTTCACAGAATACCTGAAAGAAGTTGACAGAAATCCATATTACACCTAGTAAGCAGAGCACTCTGGGGGAGCGTCTGACTTCTCTGAAGAAGCCCGCATGTAAGCTGTGTCAACAGAACGTTCTTCCTGATGGAATAAGGGATAAATCCTGGAGGCCCACAGGAGTAGGCTACAGGGATGCCCGGTGACTTGGGAATGGCAGTACCTTTAATTGCAAGCTCCACGTGCCGTGCCTTACCTTAGAGCTTTTTAACTTCCAGCACAGGCTGGAGGAATACTTCATGAATTCCAGTGGAGTCTTTTCTCCAGCCAAACAGTGCACCACATCCCAAAGGCTATTCTTATTTCTACTGATAAACCAACCTAAAACATCAGATCTAATAATAGACATTTTTTTTAAAAAATCAGAAAAACATATCCACCCTCCCCCTCTGCCCTCTCTTTTGACATAAGCAGATATCCTAACCATTTCTTATCATTGTCTCCATAGGACATGCTCAGGTCACTCTCATTCTTGTTCCGAGCTCTGGTGGCATAGTGCCTAAGGCACTTGACTGCTAACCAGAAGGCTGGGGTTCAAACCCACCAGCCACTCCTCAGAAGGAAGACTGGGCAATCTACTTCCGTAGTGATACTGCCTCGGAAAGGGTTGCTATGAATCAGATCTGACTCGATAGCAGTGCATAGCGTAGTGCAGAGGAGAAGAAAAACATCCTTTTAGAGAAACAGAAATGTTTTCAACAAAAGCAAGCATGGCCAGGGCCTGTGTTGGCACTGAGGAAGGCTGTGCCTGCCGTCAGTTCTGCTAACCACTCTTTAAAGTAAATCAACTGAGCATTAAAACATTGAACAATTTTATAGGTAGACAGGCGACTGGCAAAGACACTGAAGACTCTTTTAAATAAACAACAAGAAATAAACTTCCTTGGTATTTGCTCTGGTTTCCTTCACAAGGTTTGGGCTGATGCATCTGCATTCAGCAAGCACAGCCCACATCGCCTTTGAGAGGCGTCTGGTGCCTTCATGGCCCACACTCCCTGGGCTGTGGCTGGTTCTGGAACATCTTGGGATGAAGTTGGAAAGCGCCATCTGACCCAGCTGGGTCCAGTGGTCTGATGGAAATCAGAGTCAACATGCTTGTCAGAGATGATTCTTAAGAAGGTGCTTACTGTTGATTGACAGTTAAATCATGGTTGTATTTCTCTTTTGTGGTATTAATGAAAAAAGGTAGATTAAATGAAATTACTGTTACTGTGGACACATCAAAATGATTTTGGAGGTGGGGGGATTGAGGTGAAACCAAAAGGGAGTTAATGTTTAAAGTTTTCCTTAAAGAAGATCTTCTACAACTTCAAATTTTTCTTACAAAAAAAAATTTAATATTAAAGGAGAAGTTGAAACCAGTCTCAAAGGAGACATAACGGGCACGTTGCTGCCTGTAAGAATGCTAGCTTTTAAGTACTGAATTTGGAAAACATGATCACCAGTACCAGCAAACAGTCCCAGCATGGCAGTTTGAGCCTGACAGTGTTGAGCCACACGGTGAGACCAAAAGCCAGTAAGCAACACAGAGTCCAAGACAATGTTGACAGGAATTTAGCCCTTTAGAAAATCAGTGCTCTCTTCAGCTACTAGCGAGTTACTGGCATTAAAGAAACCCCAAGGCTAAGGAAATACCTCCATCAATACAGAACTGCCCTCGGAGACAGCCCCTTTGGAAAATGGCCAGCAAAAAACCAGCCCCTTGCAAGGAGAACTTCCAGGTATAATAAAATTATTACACAGTTTTATTCTGAAGAACATTCTGCATTTTAATAAAAAAGGATTTACGTCAGGAAACAGTCATTTACAAACCTTGAAGTGTTTTTGCCTGGATCTGGAGTAAGAATGTCTTAAGAAGAGGTTTGTAAGGTCTTCATAACAAAGTGGTGTTATTTACAAAAACAAACAAAAAAAACCCAACCCATTGATTAACAGGTTGTCCATATAATATTTAAAAATTTGAACCAAAAATTGCTACCTGTCTTTGATTGCAGGGAATCCCTGCCAAGGTAATTTGACAAAGCAAGATCCTGTTAACAGAAAAGGAAGCCTTGACAGTTATTAATTATCCAAAAGTATGTTTTCATCAAGACATACAATCAGAGTGAGTGCATTCTAATGAAAACGGCAGCCCTCATCATTTGCATATAAAAGCCCTCAAAGAGAACACACAGTACAGCAACATTTTGTAAAAAGGCAACAAATATGATTTGTACAGACCCAGACATTCATTCTAATATGCTGTAGATCATCATGTTTGCTCATTCTGTCCCTCTACCCCTTATTTCTTAAGTGTCATCACCAGTTCCCCAGGGGCACGAGCACACTTACTTCATTCACCTGTGCGATAATTTCTGCACTAGAGAT